AAAAATTAGCCATCTACAAATGATTATTAAAGCAGTGTGCATAAATGAGTGAAGAGGCTTGGATGGAGCCTTGAATGCTTACTGACCAGGTTAGGGGAAGATGAATCTGCACAGAAGATCCAGGAGGACTGTCCAGAGAGGGAGGAAAACCAGGTGAGTACTGTTTCAGAAGTCAATGAAAACACTTCCAGAAAAAGGAACTGATCAAAAGTGTGAGATGTTGCTGAGGGGTCAAGTTAGATGGTACTGAAAAGCATTCTTTCAAGTTATCAACCTGAGGATTGTTTATTTCTCTTCTTTCAAAGGAAACCTTACCTAGAAGACCAGTATGTAAACAGGTTTTTTAAAAAGCTGCTCTGGTTGAAGTGGGGGCGAGGTACCTGAACCCTGCCGATTTCATATCCATTTGGACCACAGTTTGAAACCCTCTGAAAAGTCAAAATCATCTTTTTATGATAAGGGAGACTCAACAGTTGAGGTAAAATGATTTGCTGGAAACCACGCAGTTATTGAGCGGCAGGGTCTACATTAGAACTCAGTTTTGGGGCTCCTGGGTGCCTCAGTTGGTTAAGCGTCCGGCTTTGGCTCAGGTCATGCTCTCGCAGTTTGTGAGTTTGAGCCCCGCATCAGGCCTGCACTCTGTCTCTTTCAAAAATAAAAGTTAAGGGGCGCCTGGGTGGCGCAGTCGGTTAAGCGTCCGACTTCAGCCAGGTCACGATCTCGCGGTCCATGAGTTCGAGCCCCGCGTCAGGCTCTGGGCTGATGGCTCAGAGCTTGGAGCCTGTTTCCGATTCTCTGTCTCCCTCTCTCTCTGACCCTCCCCCGTTCATGCTCTGTCTTTCCCTGTCCCAAAAATAAATAAACGTTGAAAAAAAAAATTTCAAAAATAAACGTTAAAAAAATTTTTTTTAAACTTTAGTTTTTATTTATTTATTTATTTATTAATGTTTATTCATTTTTGAGAGACAGAGATGGAGTGGGGGAGGGGCACAGAGAGAGGGAGACAGAATCTGAAGCAGGCTCTAGGCTCTGGGCCCTCAGCCCAGAGCCCGACGCAGGGCTTGAACTCATGAAGCATGAGATCACGACCTGAGTGGAAGTCAGACATTTAACCGACTGAGCCACCCAGGTGCCCCGGTTTTGATTTCTAACCCACTTCTATTTTTCCTATAACCACTTTCTATTCTTTTCATGATACGAGTTTGAAATGTGGTTTAACTGACTGAAACACGTGCATTTTGCTGCAGGTAGAACTTAACTGTATAATAGATGACTTGGATGAATAAACATGTTTCTTTTTTCTTGTAGAAGAAAAGATGCTGGAACCACAGAATGGCTTGATTGACCTACCAGATTATGAGCGTGTGGAAGATGAAACTTTTCCTCCTTTCCCACCTCCAGCGTCTCCACAGAGAGAAGATGGTGAGGGAGCTGAACCTGATGAAGGTCTGTATGGAGTTCCAAAAGAGTGCCCACGTTCTGTTATCCATCTATCAGCATGGAAATGAGACATTTTGTAAATGACACTTGAATTATTTAAGTAATATTAAATCTTAATATATTTCACCAGAGTTAGGGAGAGGAGCACCTGTTCCTGTACCTCCAAAGAGAACAGTTAAACGGAATATACCCAGGCTGGATGCTCAGAGGTACATTGACTATTTTCTTAAACATTTATACTTGTTCTTTACATTTTTTTTTTCCCCTTATATTAAAAACTTTTTGGGGGCACCTGGGTGGCTCAGTCAGTTGACCGTCTGACTTCAGCTCAGGTCGTGATCTCACAGTTTATGGGTTCAAGCCCTGCATCAGGCTCGCTGCTGTCAGCCCAGAGCCTGCTTCTGATCCTCTGTCCCCCTCTCTGCCCCTCCCTGGCTTGTGCTCTCTCTCAAAAACAAATAAACATTTGGAAAAAAAGCACCAATTTTTAGTTGGGCTGATTGGGGGATCAGTTATTTCTAAAGACATTTTTTCAGTTCAGATAATATTTTTTCTTCTTACGGTTTTGCTTTTTCTCTTTGATGGCTCTAGCAAACTGGAAATTCAAAACCTATTTCTCTCTACAGATTAATTTCAGAGAGAGGGCTTCCGGCATTACGGCATGTGTTTGATAAGGCAAAATTCAAAGGTAAAGGCTATGAGGTAAGAAATGTCTGATTTTTGTTTTAGACCTTTGTTTTTTCTTTTTTTTTTCTTTTATTTTTTTTCTTTTTTCTTTTTTTTTTAATTTTTTTTTTTCAACGTTTGTTTATTTTTGGGACAGAGAGAGACAGAGCATGAACGGGGGAGGGGCAGAGAGAGAGGGAGACACAGAATCGGAAACAGGCTCCAGGCTCTGAGCCATCAGCCCAGAGCCCGACGCGGGGCTCGAACTCCTGGACCGCGCGATCGTGACCTGGCTGAAGTCGGATGCTTAACCGACTGCGCCACCCAGGCGCCCCGACCTTTGTTTTTTCAAATATTGGTAAAACTGTGGGCCCATTACCATGTTCTGAGGAGTCTTAGAATGTGCCACAGATACCATCATTCATTGTATCTCTTGGGAAACTGAGATGTAGTGGAAAGGGCACTGCTTGAAGAATCAGAAACCTGTCTTACAGTCTAATTTGTGCCCTTGTATGGCTTTAGGAAAATCATCTCTAAGTCTGTAAGCTCTGATTTTATACTTTATAATTTCTAGGAATATAATTTACTTAGTCTACATTAAAGATAAATTTTAGGTTTCAGGAGAGCAAGGACTTTACCTGTATCAATCACTTACGTGTCCCTAAGATATGATACTTATCTTGTCATATGTGTCTGATTCATAGTAGGCATCAGTTAAGTTGTTGAAAAATGAAGACATTTAAGAACTGTCGATCACTGTCCAAATGTACGTTTAAAAAGTCTCCTGGGGCGCCTGGGTGGCTTGGTTGGTTAAGGGTCCAACTTCAGCTCAAGTCATGATCTCATGGTTTGTGGATTCAAGCCCCACACTGGGCTCTGCGATCAGAGCCTGGGGCCTGCTTCAGATTCTGTGTCTGCACCCCCTCCCCCCCCACTGTCCCTCTTACGCACGTGCGCGCTCGCTCTCTCTTTCAAAAATAAATAAAATATTAAAAAATTAGAAAAAAGTCTCATCTTTTTTTTTTAAATTTATTTATTTTGAGAGAATCCCAAGCAGGCTCTGCACTGCCAGCACAGAGCCCAGTGTGGGGCTTGAATCCACAAACCATGAGATCATGACCTGAACCAAAGTCGGATGCTTAACTGACTGAGCCACCCAGGTGCCCCAAAAGTCTCTTCTCTCTGAATCATGTACAGTATAGATACGATTTTTTGCAGATATCTTTGTAAAGCTTTGTAGTTTCTGAAGTATTTTCAAATATATTCTTTAATTCTCAACCTGTTGGGGTAGGTATTGGTTCTATTATCTAGTTATTAAGGAAATGGAGTTTTATTAGAGTTTTAAGTGTCCATTGCCAATAGTTAAAGGCAGAGCTTAGACTTCCCCTTTCATAGCCCAGCTAGAGTAACGTTAATACAACAGTGAGCACCGTCTTGGTGTGGTATGCAGGATAATCGGAAAGAGGAAGAGGCTGGAAGGAGGCAGCTGTTGCACTACCAAGTTGATGATGAATAAGGTAAAGATAGCCTGATAGGGCAGTAGTAGAGAGAGAAACAACATATGGTACTTAGACAATTGGATAGAAGGAGATAAAAAAAAAAAAAGGGGAGTCAAAAATAGTCTCGGGGTGCCTGGGTGGCTCAGTTGGTTGAATAAGTGACTTCAGCTCAGGCCATGATCTCGAGGTCCATGAGTTCGAGGCCCTCGTCGGGCTCTGTGCTGACAGCTTCGGATTCTGTGTCTCCCTCTCTCTGCCCCCCTCTCCCCTCCCCCTGCCAAAGTAAATAAACATTTAAAAAAAAAACTTAAAAAAAATCCCAAGAAGGGTGTCTGACTGGTTCAGTCTGTAGAGAGTGTGACTCTTGATCTTGGGGTCATGAGTTCAAATTCCACCTTGAGCGTAGAGCTTACTTTGAAAAATAAAATTAAAGTCAGTTAAAAACACGGCACCTGGGTATCTCAATCAGTCAAGTATCCGACTCTTGATTTCCGCTTGGGTCATGATCTTTCTGTTCATGAGATCAAGCCCCACTTCTGGCTCTGCGCTGACAGCATGGAATGTGCTTGGGAGTCTCTCTCCCCCTCTCCTGCTCTTGTACTCTCTTGCTCTCTCAAAATAAATAAACAATGAAAAATAAATTCAATTAAAAATTAAAAATCCCAAGATTTCAAACCTGGGAGGCTGAAAAATTGTACCTTTGCTCAGCTTCAGTGGATAGGAAGAGAGAGTAGAAGTCTGTGTCCTATTTTGGCACGAAACTAAATGTAAATCAGGATATTTTATCTTTTTTAAATATTTATTTCTGAGAGAGGGAGTGCCAGTGAGGGAGGGGCAGAGAGAGAGGGAGACAGGATCCAGAGCTGGCTCTGCACCGACAGCAGAGAATCCAGTGTGGGGCTCTAACTCACAAGATGCATGGTCGTGATGTGAGCCCAAGTCACACGCTTAACTGACTGAGCCACCCAGGCTCCCCTAAATCAGGATATTTTAAAACATACCCATCTCAAAAAAAGGATGGGGGTGCCTGGGTGTCTCAGTTGGTTAAACTTCCAGTTCTTGATTTTGGCTCAGGTCATAATCTCATGGTTGGGGTATTGAGCCCTGCATAGGGCTCTGTGCTGGGCTTGGGGCCTGCTTAGGATTCTGTCTCTCACGCCCTCTCCCTCCCTCCCTCCCTCCCTCTCCCACTCTGCCCCTCCCTCTCCCACTCTGCCCCTCCCTCTCCCACTCTGCCCCTCCCTCACCCTCATGAATGTGCGTGCACTCTCAAAAAAAAAAAAATAATAATAATAATAATAAAACCATACCCATCTCAAAAAAAAAAAAAAGAGAAGGACATCTGGCTGGCTCAGTCAGTGAAGCATGGGACGCGATCTTGGGATTGGGAGTTAAAGTCTCACGTTTACTTTAAAAAAAAAAAAAAAAAACCATGAAAAAGAAACCCATAAGTACTTTTTTGGCGTAAATGAGTATATGAAGGATAAAAATTTTGCGTTTTTTCACTGAGTGAGGGTAGGCTCTGAGAGTTTATGCTATTTAGTCTTCTGTACTTTGCTGTTGGAAATTCTTATTTTCTCACAAAGTTGAGTTCTTACTGCTTTTTTCTCCGTGTATGGCTTAGGACATCCTACTGTATTTGGGTGTTTCTCTTCTTGTGACCCTTCCGTCTAACATGACATTGTGAGGTGACTGACCAGCTACACCCAACAATTGGGAAATAATTTTAGGTGATTGGATTAAAAGAAACCTTTTATATTTATTATCAGAATGAGAAGGATAACACATGCTCTTAGTATTACATGTTTAGTGACTGGTAGGCTTGACCACTGGCTTCTTAGACAAGATCAGATAACAACAATAATAGCCAGTATCTGAGTGCATACTTTATGTCAGGCACTTTACTTGTATCACTTATTCCTCATAACCCTACAAAGTGTGTATAATATTATTCTTATTTTATACATGAAGAAGAAGGCATAGAGGTAAAGTGATTTGTTTAAAGTCACACACAGGGTAGGGTGCAGAGGAGAGCATAGTTGATTTTTACGTAGGGGTGGTAGAATTGAGATTTGAATCTATGCAGTCTGACCCGGAGCCTGTGCTTTTGACTACTCTTTTTTTTTTTTTTTTTTTATTAAAAAAATTTTTTGTGGGGGGCGCCTGGGTGGCTCAGTTGGTTAAGCGACCGACTTCAGCTTGGGTCGTGATCTCACGGTTTGTGAGTTCGAGCCCCGCGTCGGGCTCTGTGCTGACAGCCCAGAGCCTGGAGCCTGCTTCAGATCCTGTGTCTTCCCTCTCTCTCTGCTGCTTTCCCTGTTCACACTCTGTCTCTCTCTCTCAAAAATAAATATAAATAAATTATTTACAATAATAATAATTATTAATATAATTATAAACAAATTATAATAAATATTAATAATAAATATATAAATAATATATGATGTAAATATATAATACAATTATATATAATAATGTATAATATATAGTATAATTATATAAATGTATACATAAAGATAATAAATTAGACATAATGAATAATATAATAAAAATAAATAAACATTAAAAAAAAAAAACAGAGCCTGATGCGGGGCTCAAACCCAGGAACTGTGAGATCATGACCCGAGCTGAAGTCAGACACCTAACCGACTGAGCCACTGGGGCACCCCTGACTACTCTATTTTAAAATACTGTTGGATGGGACATCTGGGTTTGTGAGTTTGAGCCCCGCGTCGGGCTCTGTGCTGACAGCGCGGAGCCTGGAGCCTACTTCAGATTCTTTGTCTCTCCATCTCTCGGCCCCTTCCCTGCTCATGCTCTGTGTCTCTCTGTCTCTCAATAATAAATAAATGTTAAAAAAAATTAAAAAAAAAATACTATCGGGGCACCTGGGTGGCTCAGTCGGTTAAGCATCTGACTCCAGCTTGGGTCATGGTTTTGTAAGTTCCAGCCCCGTGTTGGGCTGTGTGCTGACAGCTCAGAGCCTGGAGCCTGCTTTGGATTCTGTCTGTCTGTCTCTCAAAAATAAATAAATGTTAAAAAAAAAAAATACGTTAAGAGAAGAAGTAAATATTTTATAGTAAAACCAGGAATTTAGAATTTTGTCATTCATTAGTTAAGCTTATTAAACTTTGTTTTTCATTTTCATTTAAAATTTTTAATGTTAAATTGAAATTTCATATATAGGTAGTGTGCTCTGAGAACATTTAAACTGTTGTTGCTAGTCTTTGTACTTTGCCCTTGGGATTTCTGAATATATTTTCACAGTGCTGAATTCTCAGTACTTTGTTTTCTATATATGATTTAGGGACCTGTCATTTTGTTCAGTTATTCCTAAAAGATACCTTGACATATTTTATTAAAGCTTATTTTCATATGTTACTTTACAGTTCTGAAAAGACACATGATTATCTTTTAACTTTTAAGTTTTCGTACTGTTTTTTTTTTTTAAAACGTGTATCTAGTGCTCTTTCAGACTGCAGTTCTCTAAGCTCAATAAATATTTCTCTTAAAGTTTCTTCAAAAGTTTCTTAACCATATAAATATAAAATGACACCAGTGACTTTGGCATTACTATTCAATTCTAAAATCTGCTGACAAGGTCAGTTGTGAGAATGGATCTTCTATTTATCATTTTTATTTTTATGTGCCAGGCTGAAGACTTGAAAACGCTAATCAGACACATGGAGCATTGGGCACATAGGCTATTCCCTAAACTGCAATTTGAGGATTTTATTGACAGAGTTGAATACCTGGGAAGTAAAAAGGAAGTTCAGGTAGGTGTTGAGTTGATTATGAATATCATTCACAATGCTAAATCCTGCCAAGTATGGATTCAGTTGAGGCTAAGTAGCTGTTTGCATTTTCATTTGCAAATCTCTCTTGGTAGAGAGAAAGGAAATTAATAGTACTTATTTGAAGAACACCCTTTTTGAAACTAAGAATTGAATAAATTATCATTTTCCCCCAAATGTTACTGGTGAAAGTATAAAAATATCTTTTATTTTCAGACTTGTTTAAAACGAATTCGACTTGACCTTCCTATTTTACATGAAGACTTTATTAATAATAATGGTAAGAATATAGGTTTATTAATATAATAATATTGCTTTAGAAATAGATTTAGTTGGGGTATGGGTAAATTAAGCACTGAGTTCTTCGTCTATATTGTGTATATAATTACAGTAAATAGGAATGAATTAAGATGCCTTGGTATGTGTTGTTTAATACTTGTTTCTTAAAGACATGACTGCAGTGCCATTAAGAGATGTTGTAAAAATATATTTCGTCACAGAACTTGAGCTTTTGAGAAGTCAGGTGGTGACCCGTTGATCCTTTGTGGTGCTTGTTAATGAGAATAAATGACAAAATAGAGTGTTCATATACATATACACAACTAAGAAGGGGCTTTGGGGAATTAGAATAATTTGATGGTGAGATAGTTTACTTTTCTCTTAAGAGTACAGATCCTGTACATAGATGGTCCTTAACAATGGTTTGATTGAAATGATTTTTCAGCTGTATGATGGTACAGAAGTGATAGGCATTCAGTAGAAGCCATACTTAGAATTTCAGATTTTGATTTTTTTCCTGGGCTAGTGGTGTGTGCTAGGACACTCTCGTGATGCTGAGCAACGGTGGCCGCACTGCCTGGTCAGTCACGTGATCATGAGGGTAAACAACCGAGATACACTGACAGGCATTCTGTTTTCTACTTTAGTACAGTATTCAATAAATTACATGATATATTCAGCACTTTATTATAAAATAGACTTTGTGTTACATGATTTTGCCTAACTGTAAGCTGATGTGCATGTTCTGAGCATGTTTAAGGTAGGGTAGGTATATTAAATCCGTTTTGACTTTAAATATTGTCAACTTACAGTGGGACCATCAGGATGTAACCCCATTGTAAGTTAAGGAGGATGTCTATAGGATTTTAGTAAGACCTATGTGACTGTTCCTGGTATCGATTGCATTTGTTAGTTGTCCAATGCAACCATAGGCAGTCACACACATCAAAACATGGTTCCTGCCGACAGGGTCTGTATAGTTATCAGATTTTCTGTGCGATGGCTCCATACATGTTTGTTTATTTTTGTCTTTTAAACTTTTAATAGATGTAGAAAATACAGGCTGCATTTAGAATCCCGCAAAGTTATTTATAAACTACCTTTAAAAATGTGAAGGATTGTGATTTAAATAATCCAAGATTTAAATATTTTGGTAAAACGGGGCGCCTGGGTGGCTCAGTCGGTTAAGCATCCAATTTCGGCTCAGGTCATGATCTCACAGTTGGTGAGTTCGAGCTCCACACCAGGCTCTGTGCTGACAGCTTAGAGCCTGGAGCCTGCTTCAAATTCTATGTCTCCCTCTCTCTGCTCCTCCCCCGCTCATGCTCTGTCTCTTTCTCCTTCAAAAATAAATAAAAACTATTAAAAAATTTTTTTGTAAATATGTTGGTAACATATGGTATGTGTCAGTGGCATGGGATTTGGTAAATAAAAAGGAATTAGTAACGACAGTATATTCCACAGCACATACCACTGGGGTAGATTGTTCAGCACTTTTTGAGTTGCATAGTGTGTGCTAAAGTTTCAGGGATAAAGATGAATAAGTTCAGACCCCTTGGCTCATGGGCTGACAGACGAGTGAACGAGTGAGATATAACACTGCCTCTGTTCTGATAGGTGCTAGAATTAGAAATATGAATAGGGCACAGGGTAGGGTGCAAAGGAGAGCATAGTTGATTTTACCTAAGGGAGGGGAAAGATTCACAGAGGACGTATCACAAGTCCTTTGAATGATACGGAGTAGAGTCCAGGCAAAGGTGATTTTGGAGAGAGGGACTCATGCAGAGGCATAAATTAACACAGGACTAGTCATGGAATTACAGGCAGGCTGAAATACTGGGTACATAGAAGAGGCCTATATCACACAGCCTTGTTGTATCTGTTTTCTTTGTATCCTAAGAGGATAGATTCCAAATCTTTTGGATAAGGGGCTGTAACAGTACATGTTTTGAGCATTTTATTTGTTTTTATAATAAATGTTAAATGGATATGGTAAATAGTGCACATTTTTATTTTCAGCAAAACATCATTATGAGGTTTTAAAGTGAGAACAATATGATTGAATATTCTACTGATTTTTTTTTTTTTCCAAAAATCTTGTGCTGATACTTGATCGATGATTTGAAGGTGGGGTGTAGATACAGTATTTTCCCACCCAATCTTGGTTTTACCTTATTAAGATGCATCCAAACGGAAATAGAGTATCACACACCGCACTTCATGACTCTTGGTATCCCTTTTCCAATCCCATTCACTAATGCAAGGATTTTTGGTCGAAGTTTACAAGTAAATTGTCATCTACCTTTTTCAATCATTTTTCTTAAAAATTAACCAGGGGTTGGGGCGCCTGTGTGGCTTAGTCGGTTGGGTGACCGACTTCGGCCCAGGTCATGATCTCACATTTAGTGAGTTTGAGCCCCGTGTTGGGCTCTGTGCTGACAGCTCAGAGCCTGGAGCCTGATTCGGATTCTGTGTCTCCACCTCTCTCTGCCCCTCCCATGCTCATGCTCTGTCTCTCTCTGTCTCTCAATAATAAATAAAAAGTTAAAAAAAATTTTTTTTTAATCAGGGGTTATATTTTTATATTTTTGACAGACATATAGTCCTATCACTCCTCTGCTCAAAGCCCTATAGTGGCTCCTTATTTCATCCAAAGCAAAAGCCAAAATCCTTATAATGTCCTACTTGGCCCTACAGTATCTCTTCCTTACCCTGCCTCTTTTGCCTCTCTGACTGTATCATTTACAGTTCCCCACTCACACTGCTTCCACAACACTTGCCTCCTAGCTGTTCCTCCAACCTGCCAGGCACGTTTTTGTCTTAAGGCTTTTGCACTCTTACACTCTGCCTTGAACACGTCCTCTGTCTTTCCCGCCCCCCAGTCTCCATGGCTCTCTTACCTCCTTCAGACTGTATTCGGATGTCAACTCAGTGAAGTCTCTCCAGCCACATTATTAAAGTCGTACTCCCACCCCCAGTCCTGATTCCTCTATCCTTTTTTTCCCATAGCACTACTTCCCTTTAATAATTATTGCATATTTGCTTATCTGGTAGTTGATGTGTGCCGAAATGATGGCATCCTGTAGCACATTGAATATTTGTCTTTAGCTTCTTTGCCACAGTGGCTTGCCTATGAGTGTTGCAGTGAGTGAATTTCATGTGTGGTTCTAATTTTTTTACTCCCATTTTTATCAGTTGAAGCTCCATCAGTGATTATGTTCCCGTTGTTTTTCCACATAACATTGTATTAAAGAGGCCATTTACTGTTGAAGAGATCTTTCCTTTCATGACCCACAAAACAGTAGTTCGATATGTATTTCATTATCATTAATTTGGAATCCTGTAAGCCATGGATGGTGAAGCATATTAGATATCCCAAAATTGCATAGTTGGTTCTAATATTTGTTTCTTAACTTCTCTAGCAATGTTTTCTGTCTGTCTTCCATCAATATTTCCTGACAAAGGAATGGATTTTGGTTTCTGGCCACATTTTTTTTTCCATGTCTGGAAGGTCAAGTGTATTGCTTTTTGTCTTTCACTGTCAAGGAAGAAACCTCAAAAGGGATTTGGATTGTAAAATTAAATATCATATGATTTTAAACCACTGGAATAATTGTAAAGGTTTATCTTTGTCCTAAAATGTTTTGCTAGTTGTGATGGTTTTTACTACATTAGCTAATACCTCAAGGCACAATGTATGTAAATTCATATTTCAAATGGTCTTCTTGATAGAAATTTTTTGTCTACTTGTCAGATCAGAGGACTTTTTTTTTTTAACCCTGTGATGTAAATGATGTAGGGAGAAGGTGAAATGTCAGCTTTGCTGTTTTCTTAGTTCTTGCTTGTATCTCTCTTATCTTCTGTCTACCTTCTCTTCTACATATTATTTTGCAGAAATATTTTTAAGCTATCACTTATGCATTTTGTATTAAAACTAGACAGTTAACTGGGCAATCAGAATCAGCTTTATGTCACAATATGCTGAAATTCAAAACATGAGCAAGGGCCCAGCTCTCCTACCCTTCTACAGGTGGAACTAACTGCTTGTCATATGGATGAATGATAATTTGTCACTGCCTGTCTTTAATTCAGTACGACAATTTTTCTTAATTCTTAAATGAAATATAAATGGAAGATACAATATTTACTTTCCATACCACTGTGGATCATTTCAGGGGCATCCTACTTTGAGGATTATTGGTGTACAGGGCTTTAAAGCTTTATTAAAACTAGGGGCACCTGGGTGGCTCAGTTGGTTAAGTGTCCGACTCTTGATTTCAGCTCAGGTCATGATCTCATAGTTTGTGAGTTCGAGCCCCACATCAGACTTTGCACTGACAGCTTGGAGCCTGCTTGGGATTCTCTCTCTCCCTCTCTCTCTGTATCCCTCCGTCTTTTTCTTTCTCTGCCCCTCTCCCTTCCTCCTTCCCCCTTTCCAAATAAATAGGTAAACTTAAAAAAAAAAAAGAATTTATTGAGACTAATATAGACAGCACTGAATTATTAGTCGGATGCTTAACAGACTGAGCCACTCAGGTACCCCTGAGTTATTTTTTTTTTTTTTTCAACGTTTTATTTATTTTTGGGACAGAGAGAGACAGAGCATGAACAGGGGAGGGGCAGAGAGAGAGGGAGACACAGAATCGGAAACAGGCTCCAGGCTCTGAGCCATCAGCCCAGAGCCTGACGCGGGGCTCGAACTCACGGAGCGCGAGATCGTGACCTGGCTGAAGTCGGACGCCTAACCGACTGCGCCACCCAGGCGCCCCATCTGAGTTATTTTTTAAATTCACGTGGAAATATGTTCATAGATCTCTAAATTTCTATTCCTTCTCATTTTTTTTTTAAGATTTTATTTTTTTTTCAAAGTTTATTTATTTTGAGAGAGAGAAAGCAAACAAGTACAAGTAGGGGAGGGGCAGAGAGAGAGAGGGAGAAAGAGAGAATCCCAAGCAGATTCCACATTCCATGCTGAGCCCAGTGTGGGGCTCAGTCCCACAACCATGAGATCATGACCTGAGCTGAAATCAAGAGTCAGACACTTAACTAACTGAGTCACCTAGGCGCCCTTGGAAGATTTTATTTTATTAAAAAAATTTTTTTTAAATATTTATTTATTTTAGGGGGAGAGAGGGACAGAGCGCAAGCAGGGGAGAGGCAGAGAGAGCGGGGGAGACACAGAATCCGAAGCAGGCTCCAGGCTCTGAGCTGTCAGCACAGAGCCCGACATGGGGTTTGAACCCATGAGCTGTGAGATCATGACCTGAGCTGGAGTCAGATGCCCAACTGAGTGAGCCACCCAGGTGCCCCTGAAAGATTTTATTTTTAAGTAATCTCTACACCCAGTGTGGGTCTCAAATTCACAACCCTGAGATCAAGAGTTACACACTCCACTTACTAAGCCAGCCAGGCACCCCTCCCTTTTCACTTTGTGTCTGAGTTTTATTTACCCTATTAAAAATTAGCTTAGGGGCACCTGGGTGGCTCAGTTGGTTAAGTGCCCAGCTCTTGACTTCTATTCAGATCATGATTTCATGGTTTGTGGGCTCCAGTCCCAGGTTGGGCTCTGCATGGACAGTGAGGAGCCTACTTGGGATTCTGTCTCTCCCTCTATCTGCCCCTCCCTCACACACATGCTCTCTCTCACTCTCAAAATAAATATTTTTTAAAAATTAGCCAACAGGGGCGCCTGGGTGGCGCAGTCGGTTAAGCGTCCAACTTCAGCCAGGTCACGATCTCGCGGTGAGTTCGAGACCCGCGTCGGGCTCTGGGCTGATGGCTCAGAGCCTGGAGCCTGTTTCCGATTCTGTGTCTCCCTCTCTCTCTGCCCCTCGCCCGTTCATGCTCTGTCTCTCTCTGTCCCAAAAATGAATAAACGTTGGAAAAAAAAAAATTAAAAAAAAAAATTAGCCAACATAAAATTACTACTGTGTATCATACAGGCATTATAGTAAGCTATTAAATTGTTTTTGTCGGATGTAAAACAAGAATATCCTTTGGATTCTTTTAAGTTCTTTTATTAGCCCAAGCAGAAAATATTTTCTCATCATAACTAAGAACTTTTGCTTTGTCTTCTTGCATATTTTTAAACTAGTATTACCATTTGATTTAAAAGGTCTCTTTTTTTAAAATTTATTATTCTTTTGTTGTAAAGATTTATATTTCTTTTTTTCTTTTTTTAAGTTTATTTATTTATGTTGAGAGAGGGAGAGTGAGCACGAACAAGGGAGGGGCAGTGAGAGAGAAAATCCCAAGCAGGCTCCTCACTGTCAGTGCAGAGTCCAGTGCGGGGCTCAAACCCATGAATCGTGAGATCAGGACCTGAGCCGAAACCAAGAGTCAGACCTGTAACGACTGAGCCACCCAGGTGCTCCCTCCTCTTAACAGAATTTTTGTGGTTCAGTACTGTACATGTATTTTCTCTTGTTTATGCTTTCCTTTAATAACATTGTCTTTTCTCTAGCTTACTTTAAAAATTGAGTAATACATATAACATAGACAAGATGTGTTAATTGTTTATGTTATTGGTATTCAACAGTAGGCTATTAGCAGATAAGTTTTGGGGGAGGCAAAAGTTATATGTGGATTTTTGACTGTGCTGTCTATTGGCGCCCCTAACTACTATGTTGTTCAAGGGTAATCTGTATTTGTAACATTCTCACACCTCAGAACAATTTGAAGAAAAAAATTTGTTTCTTCAGATCTGGCATCTTGTTACTTTAAACTGGTTTTCAACTAATAGCTGCATAAGCTCTTTTTCTAACTATGGATGTACTAACTGTGATTTCTACTCTAGATGAAGTAAGAGAAAATAATGTACATGATGTAGCTGCTACCGAATCAGATCCCTTTTTGACAAGCTCATTGGAAAGTGAGAAGTTTGCTTCTGAGTCCAGTAGAAGCCTCACAGAAGAAGAACAGCAGAGAATTGAGAGAAATAAACAGCTGGCCTTGGAAAGAAGGCAGGCAAAGCTACTGAGTAATAGTCAGTCCCTCGGAAATGGTAAATTTTATGCTGGGTTTTATGTGCTACCATTAATATATCAGGGACATGTTAGAAATTTTAACTTCTCTACTACCTCCAAAATAAAATACCTCTAGGAATAGAAAAATCTGATACAGTATATTAAGTTTATGTATATCTGAGAGAGAGGCAATGCGTGTGTGTATGTATGTGAGAGCTATTTGGAATCTTCAAAGAATAAACGGAGTCCAGGATGGTTTTCTGGATAGCTGAGTACCTCTTGAACAATTATTTTAATCACTTAAACTTGATTCTGAATCTTTCAAAAATATATTCTTCCCTGACTCCTTAAGGCATGTGACACATATTTTATCTGTAGGGTCATAATTACGAACATTAATTATTATGGTACCTTCCTAAACATACAAAATGCCTTCTGTACCCTTTGAGGATTCAGAGCCATTTGCTATGACCTAAATAGGTCCTTAATTGCTTTTTATTGCATTTTGTCACTTAGCTGTCGGTTTGCTTATCAGATGCATTCCCTTTTTTAAAACTGTCTTAAATTTTGCTGTTTTTATTTTTTATTTTTATTTAATTTATTTTTTGAAGTTTATTCATTTTGCAGGGTGCCTGGGTGGCTCAATTGGTTAAGCGTCTGACTTTGGCTCAGGTCATGATCTTGCGGTTTGTGGGTTCAAGCCCCGCGTCCGGCTCTGTGCAGACAGCTCAGAGCCTGGAGCCTGCTTCGGATTCTGTGTCTCCCCCTCTCTCTGCCCATCCCATACTCTTGCTCTGTCTCTCTCTGCCTCTCAATAATAAATAAGTGTTTAAAAAAAAAAAGTTTATTTTGAGAGAGACAGAGTGAGTGGGGGAGGGGCAGAGAGGGAGAGAAAGAATCCCAAGCAGGCTCCGCACTGTCAGCGTGGACCCCGATGCGGGGCTTGAACTCACGGAATGTGAGATCATGACCTGAGCCAAAACCAAGAGTTGGACGCTTATTGACTGAGCCACCCAAGCGCCCCAAAATTTGCTGTTTTTGAAATATACTGTGGGTTTGGAAACTTAGACAACCAAGTTTGTCAAAACTATATTTAAAAATAATGAAAATTGGTTTTGAATGCACGAAGGAGGATCACATATATCTTTCTCAGTTTCCAATGTAGTTTTCCTTTTGAAATGGGAAAATAAGAATTACAGTTAAGTATTGAAGGCATCATGTTATAAAACAAGTTTCACCTAAGATAATAAAACTCTCAAGTGAAAATTTGTGTCACTACATTAGCATTCTTTCCAATTAAAATGAATTTAATCTTCAGCTTTACAAATGGATATTTTATTCCTACCAGGTGAAAAATTACATGAAAATACAACTATCACTGATGGCAGTTCCTTGCTGTCATATCAAAGATACCTGGCAATAAGCATTTTAAGGTTTATCTTCTATTTATAATATATGACTTTAAAATTTGGCCAAATAGATACAAGGATCCTAAATTTTCTTTGCTAGAGGTCACTTTGACATTTAGCTGTTTAGAGCATTTGGTTTTTATTTTTATTTATTTTTAATAGATTTTATTTTTAATGTCTACACCCAGCCTGAGGCTTGAACTCAACCCCAAGATCAAGAGTTGCAAGGAGCATTTGATTTTTAAAAACGATTGTCTAGTAGTTATGATTTTTGAATGAAAATAGTTGCATTTGGCTGTGATTCAAGGTTTGAGTTCAAGACTTGCATTTTTGAGTGGACTTTGTACATGTATAAAAATGGCTGTTTTTAGGAAAATGATCATAGATTTCATTTCCACTGATGTAAGTTTGTGGAGAGATTTGTATTTATCAGGTAAGATTGGATCAGGTGCTTAGAAGGAGTAATTTCTCTTTCAGACTCATTAGCGAGCATACCCGGGGCAGAGACCATTGAAGAGGTTAATACAGGGGAAGATCAAGAGGAGGAGTCATCAAGCAGATTTGACAAAGACATTCTCGACAGTCCACACAGTGATACTGCTGCCAATGCTGTAAATGAAGAGGAGGAATTAAAAATAGAGAAAACACAACTGGACCAATCCTTTTAAAATGTATAGTGGTAACTTTATGCTTTATCTGGGAATGTCACTGAGGTTGGACAGCCCTCAACTAAGAGAAAAGCTGTTAACTTGCTATCCTCTAAGTTTTAGATTACTAGTATTTTGTCTACTTGGTGTGAAAATCCTCATGTAGTAAGACTTTCACAGATTCCTGTTTAAAATCTGGTATTATAATTATACTCGTTTCTTATTTGAGTTGATTTATTCCCTTTAGTGTTTATATAGATATGACATGAAAACGATTAGGAGTTAATAAGCACCTTCTGCTGCTAGTGTGCCATTGAATGTTTCCTTTTCACACAATTGGGTGTTTTTAAGATGTAAATATATAATGAATATTAATGTCTTTTTTAAAAAGAAATAGAAATCTTACAAATTGCCTCTAAAGGCTTTATGAAAGTTTCTCATTGCTGTTTAGTTCTGCAATGTACACTTCTGGTAAAATGTTTAAAGTTTTATATGTGCTTATGCATATTTTGAGGAGTCACTTTAATACTTAAAGCATCACATGAAAGGCTGACATATTGTCTGGCCTGTGTGGGTGCTAGGGAAGTTCCAGTGCCCCTTGGTACCTTAACAACTGGTGGGAGAGAAACTTGCAAAGTATCATGGGGAACACATAGCACCTAGGGAGGACTCACAGGACACCTTTGAGTTGGTGGATGAGAGTTCAAGGATTGAGAAAAACATGTCCAATAATGATACAGAAATGAAAATCTAGAAAATAAGGAAGACTGAGGCATGGCAAATATGAGGCTACAAGTGTTAGGACCAGATGGTAGGTAGACCCAATTGGAGTTTTTCCTGCCTGAGTTTATCAGCTTGATAGAGGGGTAAGTTACAGATAAGGTACCATGTTGATAACCAAGTTTATGATTATTTTTTTTAAGTTTATTTATTTTGAGAGAGCATGAGCTGGGGAGGGGCACAGAGAGGTGTAGGAGAGAATCCCAAGCAGGCCCCATGCTGTAAGGGCAGAGCCCCATGCAGGGCTCCTCCGTATCACAAACTGAGATCATGACCTGAGCTGAAACCAAGAGTCGGCCACTTAACTGAGCCACCCAGGTACCCCTAAAAAAATTTTTTTTTAATGTTTATTTTTTGAGGGAGAGAGAGAGTTCAAGTGGGGAAGGGGCAAAGAGAAAGGGAGACATAGAATTCAAAGCAGGCTCCAGGCTCTGAGCTGTCAGCACAGAGCCCGGTACGCGGCTCCTGAACTGAGATCATGACCCAAACTGAAGTCAGACGCTTAACCGACTGAGCCACCCACGCACCCTTATGTATTTATATTTTTAAATGTTTTTTTTTGTAACATTAATTTAAACTAGGTCTTATCTGAAGGCAACCGGAAAGTTAACCTGACAGATGTCAGAGGGGTCTATGACCCAAATGGCCCAGTGTGGCAGTTACTAGGAAAATTAACTTATTTTGAAAGAATGGATTTGAGACAAGCTAATCAAAAATCAATGCTGGGTTTATTAAAAAGAGACTGGCAATCGGACTTACAGAGCCACCATTCACGATGTGTTCATTTCTGAAAAATCCGTTTCCACAGTGACCTAATTGCACTTTAACGAAGCTGTAATTAATAATGATGAGAAAACGTTTTGTGCATTTGTGATCTACCCATTTCCAGTCAACTAGTACATTAGGTGACAAAGAACATTGGATGTTAATGTTAAAAAGAAGGTAAAACATTCACAAAACAGCTCTTTTAATGAAGTAAGAAGAATATCTCACATTCCATAACTGTTCGAAACATCCAGAAGAGCTAGGTCCCTTATCTCTTCTAGAAGCATGTACAGGCTTCTTCCCTTTGTTTGGCAGTATTTTTGATAATCTTCCTGGATGACGTTTACTTTGACTTCTTGGGCAAGCTGAGCTTCCTCCACAGATCTGGTTACTTCTTTCACTAAATCACTCTTTAGCAAGAGGGAGCTCTGATGAAATAGTTCTGTATCTGGTGACATGTACGGTTTGTTGCTTATTATTTCGAGCCTGATTGTATCAGAATGGCAGCGGGAGGCCTGTACAGATATTCTCACCTATCACAGAGGAGAAAGATGCTTATTACCAGATCACATTCTTTATACTTTACATTCAAAGCAAGGCTTAATGTAGATACGGACTTACTGTTACGTGGTCAAACAAATGGAACGTAACAGATTCCCCTCCTGTTGTGGTAGAGGTGATTTTGTTTTGAAATCGCTGCAGGGATCCTGGTTTCCATTCAGAACGGCCATCTGGGCCGCAGGAGATCACCAAACCATCTTTATTTTTTAGGTAAGCAGCACCTTTAATCCCAAACCTGAATGAATCATGGCCAGAGTAAAAACCCAGAGATAATGTATTCTTAGTATACAAATCTTATATACTTAATCTAGAATGTTAGTTTCTCTTCTAGATTAAAAACAACTTTTCCTCTCATTTACCTCCAAATATTTCACTGAGCAGGTGGAGAAGTATTTTGCTCAATAAGAAAATAAAATCCTATCTGCACACTGATAACAGATGTACTAGATTCTAATCTTTATACTTATGTAGTGCATTATTCTATTACATCATGTACATCTATTATATCATGTACCTATAAATAGTTCATATAGCTATTTTAATCATAACTAAAGAACTGTTTGCATTCTACATGATTTCTTAACTATTGTGTTAGATGTAACATACCTTGGTATAAATAGAAGCACACCATTTGTTCTAATTGAATATATGACCCCATCAGATATGCAACGCTCATTTTCTGGGTCTTTGTCTTTAAAATACATGCACTGGAAGAGCTCAGTGGACTGTTTCTGAGAATGCTGTGCTGCCTGGAAGAAGAAGCATAACCCAAAGCATGTTGACATTCCCAGGTGAAACATGGAATTTATACTCCCACAGCAAAGATGTCTCTAAAAAGGCTATATTCTAGAAAATTATTAATACAAATATTTTTCAGATATTTGGGGAAAATATCTAACCTATCCTTAAATCTCCTAAACACACATTGTTACTTCAGAGCGTTCGTTTATAAATATATTGAGAGCTATGTAAGAAACTTTACGATTTTTCATGTTATTTCATTGGTTAGAATAATGCTAGCATTTAACTTGCTAGAATATATGGTACTTCATTCCACTACAAAATGAAGCTGATATTCCCCTAGTGAAAGAGATGATGGGTAAGAGAACTTAAAATCCTCTCTTACTCGGTTTCTGTTGTTGATATGTCTGCATAATTCCTCAAGATCTTTGTTGCTGAACAAATTGTCCTTAATTTCCATTTTCTTATCTTTTGCGATGGCCGCCATTAACAATCGGTGTACTACGATATCTGAGTATCTTCTTATTGGAGAAGTAAAGTGAGTATATTTATCCAATGCAAGGCCTTCAAAAGGAAACCAAAAGATGGAAATCAACAAAAAGACATACTTTTAAATGTCTCGCTCAAGGTTATGGCCACACAAAAGAAAATGCTATCATTCACCATAATGATGGAACTCTTCCTCTGCACACGACCCAGTGGAGAAATACAGTGCATTAGACATCGCCTGCGTGGCCATCGATCGTAGCAACCTGTTTACAATGGGATCATTGGGGTCATTCGCGTTATCCAGAGAATCAGCCAGTGTTTTATTGGACCTGACAAAAAAACGGAAAAACTTTTATTTAGTCTCAAGCGATAATTTACAAGTCAATACTGTGTGGGACATCTTTCACTTGTCACTCAGAAGAAACTAAGTTTATTTTGGATACGTTTTAGAAGCAGCTCTTTTCAATTACAGAAATCTAGTTTGCTTTTAAGGTTTAAACACAGCAAGTATATCAATTTAAATACACTTTTTAAGAGTAATATACTGATACCTATGTGGTTAAGTTAATGCCCAGCACATTGGAGGTGATCAAATACTTCTTGAAATGAATTCCTAACACTCTTAACCTTAAACATCCCTTACAGATCAAAGGGTGGACTTTTTGAAAATCAAGAATTATGGAGCCAGAGTGAGTTAGAAAACAAAACTAAACTAAACCTGAGGTGTACAAGTAAAAGAAACCTAAATTATTTTCCTTTTTTTAGAAAGAGAAAAAGAGACAGGAAGTACTCTATTTACCCAAATAATTTTTAAAACCCAGGAAATAAAGAATTATATTTAAAAATGCAATTCACAATGTAGCACATAATTCACTTCTGTAGGGTAGCCCACCAAGAAACGGAGGGAAGAAAGGCGGAAAATGATAAACAGGAGCATCAAGAGGGTACAGGCTAGTGAGAGCCTTCAAGTATGACAGATGTGGATTCAAAGCCAGATTCTTCCTTAAGTGGTGATCTACAGGTAAGTCACTTACCCTCAGCAGCTGTAATTCCCTATCGGTAAACTACAAATGACACAAGATGTCGGAAAGCACTTACACCAAGTATGCCTGGCCCCCAAACACAGCTCACCCATCCACCAAACAAACCAACAAAAGATACTATCACAGACATAGGTGCAAAAAAAAAAAAAAAATCATTTTGATAAATGCTATTTTAATTAGCACTAATCTATTACTTGAAACAAAATATTGAAAAAAAATCCTCTATACATCTTACATCTTTTTTTTTTTTTTTAATGTAGCCGTTAGCTATTTTTGTTTTGAAGTAAACCCAGCATCGGGCTTAAACTCGTGACCTTGAGATCGAGAGTTGCATGCTCTACCGATTGGGCCCGGCAGGCGCCCCGATACATCATTTTCAAAAGGGAAAATCTTTTATCCTGGAGGGGGGCAGTAAAAATGTCTCATTCTATGAAGTGATGATATAAATTTACCATTGGTGTGGTGTTTTAGGACATGGCCTCAAAGATCTGGTGCATTTTTAAAGTACTGAAATACATGGGATTACTTCTTAGGATTTGCCTAAGGGGCAGATGAAATTAAACCAGGCTCCTTACTTCTGCATTATGAATTGTAGTGGATCAACATTATGCCTAAATAAACTTGTTTTAATTTTAATCTCTATACCTACATTGTATAGTAAATGAAAAAAAGCTAACAAGTTTTCTATTTTGGGGCAAAGATCTGGCTGTCGCATTTTAAGAACTACAGTAAAATCGGTGCACGGTACTCCCTTCCCTCTGCCCCCTCAAAAGAGGAATTACCGTGTATCTATGAAGAAGCCTTTTGCTTTAGCACATTCTCGCAGTTCAGAAAAAAACTCCTGGTGTGGAGGAGGGTGTTGGCGTAACAAGGCCTGATGCGGGAAGCTCTCCCAGATCTTCTTGGCTACCCAGTGGTTGGCCAGGATCATGCATTCAGCCACCGTCTCATGGACCTCCAGGGGCTGCTTGGGGATGAGGTCATGAATGTTCTTTTTCTCATCCAGCTGAACACGAACCTCTACCCCTTCCAGTTCCAGGGCGCCACAACCGTCTCGTTTAGCTCGGACATGGCGTGCAATGTCAGTCAACTTTCCAATGGCCCACGCTAGCTCCTCTAGCCTGGCTTGTCTGGTCTTCTCATCCAGGTCTCTGAATTCTGGAATATCATCGACAATGTTGAAGTTTCCGTCCAGCAGCTCCTGGGCTGCTTCATAGAACAGTTTGTATGCTGATCGAATAATGGTTCTGCCATACCACACTTTCTTAATTTCATAGGAGGTTTTATCCAATTCCCATATGACACTTACAGCATACCTACAAAACCAGTAATGCTGACATCATTATTCAATTCTTCCATTTTTTTTAATAAAAAAAATGTGTTTAACGTTTATCTTTTGAGAGACAGAGCGTGAGCGGGGGAGGGGCAGAGAGAGGGAGACACATAATCCAAAGCAGGCTCCAGGCTCCGACCTGTCAGCACAGAGCCAGACGCGGGGCTCGAACCCATGAACTGTGAGATCATGATCTGAGTGGAAGTCAGAGGGTTAACCGACGGAGCCACCCAGGTACCCTCAATTCTTCCATTTTTGGGGTAAGTAGAACTAGACTTTAAATGTATCTTGACAGGTTTAGTAAAGAACCGCTTTGCCACCAAATCACTCTACTTAAAAACCTATGCAATAGGGGCACCTGGGTGGCTCAATCAGTTAAGTGTCCGACCCTTGGTTTCCACTTAGGTCATAACCTCATGGTTTCTTGAGTTCAAGCCCCACTTGGGGCTCTGTGCTGACAGTGTGGAGCCTGCTTGGGATTCTTGGTCTTTCTCTCTTTGCCCCTCCCCCACTCACGCTGTCTCTCTCAAAATAAACTTAAAAAAAAAAATCATGCAACATACAAAAAACAAAAGGCTAAATTTCCTAATATTTAAAGAATTCTTTTTAATTTTTTTTTGATGTTTATTTTTGAGACAGAGTGTGGGGGGGGAGGGGTAGAGAAAGAGGGAGACACAGAATCTGAAGCAGGTTCTGAGCTGTCAGCATAGAGCCTGACGTGGGGCTTGAACTCACGAACTGTGAGATCATGACCGGAGCTGAAGTCGGACACTTAACCGACTGAGCCACCCGGGGGCCCCTGTGAAGAATTCTTATAAATCAATTACTAATAGATAAAGAACTCAAAAAAAATGGGAAAGGAACATTAAATAGTTCACAGAAAAAAATACGTAAATGACTGTTAAACATACACAAATATGTTTAACTGTACTCATAATAGGAAAAATGCAAGTTAAAACCACCTATCATTTTCTTTCTTTTCCTTAAAAGTTTATTTACCTATTTTGAGAGAAAGAACCAGCAGTGGAGGGGCAGAGAGAAAGGGACAGAGGATCCAAAGTGGGCCCAGAGAGTCCAATGCGGGGCTCAAACTCACAAACCATGAGGTCATGACCTGAAGTCAGATGCTTAATCAACTGAGCCACCATGCGCCCCTAAGATACCATTTTCATCTATTAAGATCGGCAAAGATAAAAAAAAATACAACATACTGTGTTGGCAAGGCTTTAGGGAAACAAGCATTCTCACACGGTCATGGTGGGAATATAATTGGTTTAACCTTTAAGGAGGGCAATTTGATTACATCTCTATAAACACACATGCATATACCCTTTGACACAGAAATTCCACTTGTAGAAATTTATCTTCCAGATACTGTAATTTTAAAAATGTGAAATGACTTATGTTTCATGTAATTCAGTACAGTTTGTAATAGCAAGACTGAAAACAATCCAAATGTCCATAGATAAGCAACTGTTATTAATATGGAATGATCTCCAAGATACATTTTTAAGAGAAAAAAAAGCAAGGTGCTGAACAGTGTATATAAATCACACATACACACAATGTCACCCTTTGTGCACAGAAGAGAGACCACACGTCCACATTTGCATGTATGTGCATTATATCTAGAAAACCACAGAAGAAATTGGTAGCTGGGGGAAAATGGTAGAAGGGAGCCTTTCATTAAATATCTTTTGGAACCTACGGATTTTGGTTTTATTACATATTCAAAGACATTATATTAACTATAAACATTATAACAGATAAACAACTCCCTACAGTTCATGATCGTCATGCAAAATAGCCTCAACCAGGGAATATGTATGTGCAAAGTCATATGCGTTTCTCTTTTTTAACATTTATTTTTTGAGAGACAGGGCATGAGCGGGGAGGGGACAGAGAGAGAGGGAGTCACAGATTCCGAAGGAGGCTCCAGGCTCTGAGCTGTCAGCACAGAGCCCGACAGCGGGCTCAAACTCACAAACTGCGAGATCATGACCTGAGCCGAAGTTGGACTCTTAACCGACTGAGCCACCCAGGTGCCCCAGTCGTATGCGTTTCTTCCCAGACTTTAGCTGAGTTTTAAAAGCCAACAACAGAGGTAGAAGCTGCCTCACAGCAAGATAAACGGAAAAGATGAGAGGAAGGGAAGGGAAGGCTAGAGAATAAATCTGCCTAAAACTAAGCGGGTGCGGGAGGGTACAGGGGGACAACAGGGGTGGGGAGCAGGGGGTAGAGCACATTAGAAAGAAGCGAAAGGCCAGAAGCAAGAGCACCGGGCATCACAGAAGAGCCAGGACAAACTCTGGAGATTAAAAAAACAAAAAAACCACAACAAACTATGAACAAACTCACCTATCAACGCCTCCCAGAAGAGAGCACAAATCGGCGCTGAGCGTGGAGGGCAGCATGTCATAGCGCCGGTCTGCTAAATAATAAGTGGTGGCCCTGTGAACGACACACGTGCGGGTGCGTGACCTTCAGCAGCGAGAGGCAGAAGTGCCGACTGCAGGGGCCGCGGGGAGGGAAATGGCCAAATCCTCAGTGCAAATCCCCCAAGGCTGTTGCTTTTTCATAAAGTGCAGCCGACTGGGTAATAAAGCTATTCCCATGCCCCCACTTTTCTAAGGGGTACTGCCTCGGGCTGAATGTTCTTCCGCTGATATGAAAAGGAAAAAGTGGCATGAATCTTACTTATCTAGGAAGAATTGGAGTGTAATGATCCAGTATTCGTATAAAAGGGTATTCCTACCTGACACATTTAGTTCATTGCAATTTAGGAGGAAAGTGTGTGAAAGGTTCTGTTGAAAAAAAGGAAAGGTAAATGGATCAAGGTACTATTTCTCTAAAGGGAAAGGGGAGTGGACCTCAATTTTTCTCCCCCTAGGAGGGATCTGCAGAATTGCACAGAATTGTGAAATGTTCATTTTGAAAATCTAGGAGTGGAGAGGTACGAATATGTTACAGCCACACACACATAATCATAGTGTTCATTTCAAACAGCATTACCTTGTTCTGGCTTCGATGTCAATATACGAATTTGGTGCCACAAAGTGTGTCACATCTGCAATGTGGACCCCAAGTTCCAAGTGGCCATTATCTAAGGTTCTGACGGAGAGTGTGTCATCCACATCTTCACAGCCTTTCGGGTCGATGCTGAATACAAGATGGGTTTTCCTCAAGTCTTGACGTTCTCGTTCCTCTTCAGGACTCACCTTCCAGGGATTTCCTGGTGTGTTTACTGGCATCTCACACATCTGTCCAACAAGAGTCAGATATTCGGCAGTTCACACACCCCGAGTTTCCTAGGAGATTCTGGGCTCTCGAAGAGTCTCACTGCCACCTCCTAGAAGTCCCATTCATTCCCCATTACCTTTTGCAATTAACCTGCATTTGCTTCTTTGGATCAAGAATTATTTATCAGGTGCCTCATGTGTGTCAGGAACTGTGCGAGGCTCTGGAAAGGGCAGGAGCCAAGAAGAAAGACACAGTCTCCTGCCCCTGCGGACCCTTACAGTCTGTCAGGAAATGTGCCTGTTTCCGGCAGCTTCTTTAGTTATGGAGGTCAGATCGAGGATAAACAGAGGCTTATCAAGAGCACAACCTCTACCCATTTTCAGATGATTCATTTGTTTAAATGCAGTTGAGCTTTTAATTCAATTCAAGCCCTGAAAAAAAAGAATCAACGTGTCCCAAATACTAAAAGCCTATTCCTTAAAGATAATTTAAGCAGGACCAATCTAGGGCATTGTCTCTCCATTATTACTTGTTTAGGCCATCAATTTGCAGTTAAGTAGGCTAAATGAGAAGAGAAAATTCTAGTCCCATGAAGTCTAACCCATGCTTTATTTTATTCTAACATTTTCACTAAGAGCTGTCAAAGCAAGTCAACAAATAATTTCAAGAAACTAATGTTAAACATAAAAATTTAATAATGTAAAATATTCCAAGATATTTTACTATTATAGCTACTGTTCTGTCAAAAACTGTAATGAAAATAAGAACACCCATCCACTCTTGATGGCAATGCAAACTGGTCCAATTTTTCTCGAGAACGATCTACTGATACATAAGAAAAGCCACTTAAATTTTTAATGCCCTTTGACTTGATAATCTTACTTTAAGGATTACATCTCAAGAAAAACGATGAAAAAGAAAAAAAAAGAGCAATGTTTGTAAAATTGTTTGAAGTAGAGTTTTTTTTATACTACTGAAAAATTAAATAGCCCAAGGCCCAGAATTGAGGGAGACTTAAACAAACCAGAGTACATCAATACACAATCAAGTGCCATAACCTTTACTAAAAAGTAGCTATGGCAATACACAGAAATAATTTTAAGTGAAAGACATAGAACAGAAAATAGCATGGACGCACTATGAATATAGTTATGCAAAAATAATAAACAAGATTTATGAGGATTTTATGAGATCATAAAGCAATGGAAATAGCTAATGTTTAATGTGTATTGAATTTGTGTTTTCTGGGGCGCCTGGGTGGCGCAGTCGGTTAAGCGTCCGACTTCAGCCAGGTCATGATCTCGCGGTCCGGGAGTTCGAGCCCCGCGTCGGGCTCTGGGCTGATGGCTCAGAGCCTGGAGCCTGTTTCCGATTCTGTGTCTCCCTCTCTCTCTGCCC